AATTAGAAGAAATGTATTAATACAATTACTTTAGTCTTTGGCACTCAGACCACGGCAGGAAACATAGCGCTTAATTTTGATTCATGTACATGAACTGAGCAAAGAACAGGGTCTGTTTCTCCCCAAGCCTAAAACTGATGGTGGAGTGGAGATAGATGAAGTTGGTCAGTCTGTAGAAAAAAAAAAAAAAAGGAAAATTCTCTCCACCGATGAATCTGTGTGCCTTCCATAAAACAAATCTCCACCCCAGTTTTCAGTCTGTTCGATTTTGCACATTTAGATAGACCTAGAAAAAAGAATGATAATCAAAAACTACAATGTATCATAGCATAGTCAGAACAAATGGAAAAGAGGAAACTATACCCATTATTGACAACAAAACAAGCACGTTCCTGGCTTTTAGCAGCGTGTACAGGTAGCTAACACTACTACCAGCGGTGGAGAAGACGCGCTATGAGGGTTTGCTTGTCTTTGCCCACAAAGTCACCTATATTGACTATCATTGCTTTTTGTCGGACTGATGAATATTGGTTGGAAAATTGTTACATACCGCCCAACCTTACTTTGTATAGCTTGTTTCTAAATAATGTTTATACAAGCATAAAATCTGAAAAGATTCTAAGTTTAAACTACATGACCCCAATAACATGTCTTACTTATTTCCAATGTGGAAGAATTATAGTGAAAGTGATAAACCTGTTTTTTTGTGAGCGATATCATTGCTACATACTAGATATTTTTACTTTGAGTTTGAAACAAAGCCAGAGAAAAGAGTTGGTGGGGAGTTAACATTATTAGAAATGACAACTATTTTACTGGAAACAAAAAGACTGATGAAGGGTGTGGGACATGAGGCAGCTAAATATTAGAAAGAGAAACATAAGAGTCAGCAGAGGAGAAGTGAAAAAAGTGTTTACAAATGCAGAGCAGCATGTTTTTAAAACAGCTCAAGATCTCTTAATTGTTATCCTAACATCGGTAGTTTAAGCAACTTTCCCAATAAATAGATAAATCTTTCCCAAAAAAATAAATCACGCAAACTCTGTGCTTGAATGTACTTGGCTGACCAAAGCAGATTTAACATAAATCTGAGATAGGTCTTGAATAAGGGAGGGTTGACAACTCTTTTTTTTTATTTTTTTTTGCTGGGCCTGTTTGTCTTGGCATTTCCCCAAGATTGTGCTTCATGCTGTGTTACTGTCAGCATTAGGGTAGGTGGTAATTCTCGCACACAAAACAAAACAAATGCTTGCACTCTACTTGCCTGATTTGATAAAATGTCATGTGAAAAACTGTGTTAATGTCAAATGTAGCTATTTTTGAAGGTGATAATTGCTCAGTTTTTGCATTAGAGCCTGAAAATTTGTTTTATTTTTTAACTGAATTTTTTACCTAAATCCCAACATAAAAAAATATATATATGTACATATAATATATATATGTACATAAATATATATAAATATATATAAAGTGCTTTACCTAAAAGCTAAACAGGTTGCTGATTTTAATGCATTGTTTTTACATAAAAATAGATATTTCTCAAATGAAGCCTATTGTTACAACTGATCGTGAAATCCTTTAACCTTCTCAAGTATCTTATATGAACAGGATTCTAGTTAGGGTTGCTGAGATTTTTTTGAGTCTTCCAAAGTCCAACATAGGCATATATATGATCAAATAATTCCTTTGACGCTTAACTTTAAAGCAAATCAGCAAGTATCACTTTATTATCTGATTTAACAGTTCGGTCCAACTCATAAGAGTGAGGTAGGATCTGTAAAGCAAATCGCATGGATCACGTTATTATTAACAGGATCATGTAGGTCCAGGGTTCAAGGAGTCCACAGAGAATTGAGGCTGGTTCAGGGTTCCAAGAGTCTGACAGAGAGTTCAGGCAGAACGTTCAAATGGGAACAGGCAAGCTCACTAGTTGAGAGGCAGGACAAGGCAGGATATCAGGAAAACTACTGAATGTTAAAACTAGCTCCCTCCACAGAGCCAAAACAGGAACAGAGCACGTTCATTGAATAAAAGACAGGACAAAATAAGGAACACTAAAAACCCTCTCTCACCACTGGCCTGTGAGAACGGAAACGTGAGCAAAAACATCAGCTATGAACTCAACGTCAAACTCAAAACGAAGTCAATGAACTGGCCCTGATAGCTGGGCTGAGCCATATATAAAGCAGCAGGGGTTTGTGGATGACATGAGTAAGACAGGTGAGTAAAATGATCATGAAAAAGAAGCATTTTCATGGCTTACAAATTTGCTAAACCAAAAACGGCTGTTTTCCGTATGCAGATTAGCAGCTATAAGAACCACTTCATCATTCTTTGAGCAGAACACCTCACAATATGCCTTGCATCACCTCTCGCTAATCGAAATAAAGGGACTTTTGTTAACACTGCAGGCGCTGTCATGATCTTGGCGCTGATGTCTGATCTGATTACTATTTTATTTACTTGTCTATCTCCGCCCAGTTCTCATTACCATTCATCTGATCCACCTGCTTAAGCCTCTATTTAACCAGCCTTCAAACCAGTCAACAGGGCCAGAATCTTCGAGCCTTTGGTGAGATTGCCTGATCCTGACCTGTTCTGCCTCTGGACCTCTGAGCCTGCCAGTTCCTGTTCTGATCTGTTTGCCTGGCCTGTCCTCGGACTTCTGCTGGATATCTTCCTGCCTGTGTACCAAACTGGTACTGGGCATGGACTGAACTGTAAGACCAGGTTAATGACTCACATTCATTATCATCGTCCGCCATATAGATGTGGTCACTAACCTTTGTTCTCCTCCTGTAGAGGTTCCTGCCTTAGACACCAATGCTGTTCACTGCAGTTTTGTCTTTAATAAGCTTTTTGTTAAATCTAACCATCTTTCTGCCTTGAATACTTGGTCCTTCTGTTCTGAGCCAGCACGGTCAAAGTAGGGCCCTCCTAGAGAGGGCATGTAATGTCATCATTACATGCCATTACATGTTATTTATGAAAATTGATCTTGTATTTTCAGGAGAGGAAGGAGATTCTGCAGCATTAATAAAATGAGAAAAAAAGAAGAAATAGAGTTATAGCAGTTCATAAAGCTCACAAAAAGTATTTTGAATCACATGGTCTTTTTACCCATGAGAACAACCACTTTAGAAGAATAAAAAGACTAAACAGAGCAGCATTGCTCTTTCTTTTAGCCTTTCTATTATTGGCTTAAAACCGTGCTCTCTCTCAGTCTAAATTGACAACAGACATTTTTTTGAAAGTGTTTACTAAAATGTTATTTTTTTTTTTTATTTAAGTTTCTGGCATTTCTGTGCTGTGTAGGACATTTTTTAAGGAATTCGTGGATAATAAAATGGGAAAACTTTAAATTTACTCTCTTCACAACCAGCAACCACACAGCATAGTGCGGCGGTCAGCCCGGCTGGTGGTGTTTATGTATTATGTTTCACAGACTGAAAAAAAAAAAACTCAGATCTTTCTGGGTTTCTCAATAGTCGCTATCTAGGGATGATGAAGTTGTAAAGGTGCAGATGTGCATAACATTTTTTGACGACTCTATCTAAAAAAGAATATCACAAATGAGAAACACTGATAATCCACTATATGGCTTGTTGTGTAATAAAATCCCTTTTGAAGCACCTTGCCTGATTCATTGATGTATTCTTCTTTGAGTATGTGTACATATGTTTGTGTGACAGAGCTTTAGAGGTTTGGTGATCGAGCTCCATGACTCCAGTCTCCAGCCGAACAAATTTTGTATTCTGATTTGGATAAGAAAATTGTGCACATGTTAATCAAAGATTTTTGATGTAAATGCAATTAAGGGTCACTCCCTTTTAAGATCAGTCTCTTTTGGCTGTAAAAACACTTTGTTGACATTTGGAGCAGACTATGAATTGGAATGACCTCAGTCAGAAAGATGTTAGGACGATTGCATACACACAGTCAAAGCCATCGTCGATAGATGTTTTAAGGAACAACTATTCCCAGATGTGGTCAAAGTATTGTTAGAAGAGATGTTGGAGCAGAGCTTTGCTCTGCAAACAATAGGAGCAAACATGGGAAAGACAGTGAAGGGAGGAGGGAGGCAAGGACCGGACTGCTGTTGCCACGGGAGAGGTTTCAAATGAAAACACACATTCCAATTCACCAAATTACAGGCGAGCCAATCCCCCCATCCCCAAAAAAGCCAGGAGACTGACAGTAACGGTGAGATGGAGAGTATTTGTCTCCGTATGGGTGGCTCATCTCATCACATTTACTGGCTTAGACCAGATCCCTTCGTCAGATACTCTCACACACACTTTTATCCCAAAGTCAGCCCCCTGGAATATTTACTAGCCTCATGTGGGGAAATCTCTGAGGATTATCCTCAATAACCTGTTTAACTTAATCCTTATCTCACACACATGAATAATAAATCCCCCGCCTCTCCACTCTCTGTTTTTTTTCTGAGATGGACTGAGGAGTAGAGCCTCTCTCACCTTACTCTTCATCACACTCCCCTCCTCTCTCTCTCCTCACACACACACACACACTCCCTCACTCCATCTGCTTCTCGACTATGAGCAGGCTGCTTTCTCTGCCTCGCCGTGCGTCTTTGAGCCATTCTGACACATGCGCTCCCCCTCTGTCTCCTTGTCGCTTTCTTCTTGCAGTCTTTACCCCCCATCTTTTACCTCACCAGGGAGCCAGTGTCTCTCAGTTTTGTCCTGTTCCACCCAGGACAGGAAAGGAGCAGTAGCAGGGAGCACCGGCAGAGAGGACCGTTACCACAAAAACAGGAAAAAGGAAGTGGGCAGTGACCTGTGTGAGGAGGGGACTGCGGTCGGACAGCTGTGGCTCAACAGTTTTAGATGCTGGATGAGAAAACCACATCAGAGACGGCTGGTAGAGGAAAGAAAAGAGAGCAAGAGAGAGACCTGTTGGATTCACCCCTGAGAGAAATTAAAAACCTCAACAACCTGAGGAAGACTCAACATTTGAAGATAGTGAAGATAGATCGATTTTATGAATTTTATCTGATTTTAGGGTAAAACAAATAGTCATAAAGAAAACTGTTATTGCCACAAGAGAGGTTTGAAATTCTTAAACATCTCGGATTCTGACACTCGGAGTGCATTTCATTATCTTCCGGAAAACATCTTTGGGACACATTCTTGATCAAGAGACGTCACAGACTTTGTTCTCCGGCACAAATTCCCCCCCAAAGAAAAAAAAGGTTTGGTCAAAGGTTTTGGAAAACACTGTTTAATTTATCAAGAAACTACTCCTGGAAATAAAAAAGTTGCTGGACTGTTGAGTTTTTCTGGATTCAGATTGAACAAGAACACCATCTCTGGTGGATTTCAGCTTCGCTAAGGCAAGGGCCAAATCAGGTGAGTTAATCTTTTCTAAGTCGCATGCCTCAAAGAGGAGTTTCTTTGTTTTTTCTGTGTGTCCAATGAAGTTTCATAGACCGGTTACCAGACAGCACTCTCAGAGCATCCCTGTTCAGCAAATGGGGCTCTGAATATACATTTCCCTGTGACTGAAGAGCTGTGTACTGCATCAGCGCCAGAAAAATGTAACCAAGATCCCTTGAAAATGCTCCAGGCCACTTTCTGATTCACTCTGGGGCGAAAAGCTGATGAATAGTAGTAAAACCGTCTCAAAGAAGGCACCAAAATAACTGGAGCTGACAGTGATAACCCCTTCCCGGACAGGTTGTCAGCACCTGTCACTCCTCACATATGTTACGGCAATGCTCTCGGACAGCTCGGTGTGGATTTGAATGCGGTAATTGTGCCATCCCCGGGGGTGGACTGTCATTCCTGGAGACAGACGGCCGAGGCCATTAAAATGATACGGGGCTGATTTGTAGACACAGCAGGAAGAAATTTAACTAAATCCACCAGGAGGTCCTCGGCTGCTCATTTTGTGAAGAGTTCTGCATTTGTGAGAAACCGATTCATCCCAGCTGTCAAGCTCAAGTTGGCTCACCTATGAAGTATTGATGACGCACATCTAATATTTAACAAGTGGCAGGATTTTGTCTTTTGAGTGGTGTCATTTTGTCAGCTGAAGACCTCCCTGATATACATATGCAAACAGAGACCTAATTTATCGACTTCATGTCGTCTGGCAGGGACGAAGAAAAAAAAACACCACAAAGGAAGATTTTCTGCACTTTTTAGGGGGCTATTTATATCTTTTTTTCTCCTGAAGTCTCAGCGTGCTGTTGTGTCTCTCCTCCGTAAAAAAAAAAGTCGCTCCTCAGTGGCAGATTATCTCCGTAAGGCCCCTCCGGGTGATAGAAGTGATTTGATTTAGTTGTAACATCGAAAGCTGTTGATGCAACTAAACCCAGTGGTCTAATTCCTGAAGAGCGAACTATCAGGGAAAATCCTTTGGGTGCCATCTGGGACACTTCACCCTCACACACACACACACACACACACACACAAAGACTCACACACAAACCCAAGATTCATGATTAGAGCCGTTCATTCATTCAGATATATGTCAGTGAGGTTGACAAGCTGTCCAGCTGTGGTGCTGTTGGTTCAGCTCAAGTCACTGATTATTACAGAAAAACCTAGTTAAGGGTTGTTCTCAGAAACTGACCTGCATTCATCCTTCTTTTTTTCATATTTTACTACACACAGGTCCATAATGCAATATTTTTCATTGTTCTGCAAATGGTTTCTACTTCCAATACTCCGAAAGTCATTCATTTGGGCTATATGTGAAACAAAAGGTTAAAAATAGGGTTTATTACTACATATCTTAAGGATTTAGGCTTTGAAACGGCATAAAATGAAGCAAATTCACCATTAAGATGTATTCACTGCATTTATTTAGCTTATAATACGTTGATTTAAGCTGCAGGCTGTAACAACAGTATGTGTTTTTGAGGGAAGAAAGAAAGATTAGCAAAAGCAGCATAATTAGCATCAGTTTTGGAGTTGGCAGACATCCTTCACAAGCTGAAGACTAATTAGCCCTGATTTGACTTTGTCTCGTTGCCGAAATGAAGGTTTGTGTCTCTGCGTTTGTGTGTCGCTGGCGGACAGGTTGTCAGATGCAGCTCTGTCATTAAACCTGTGTTAATCCCACTGAAAGATGCACACATGGCAAACATTCAGGGCTTAAATAAAACTCAAATGGAATAAAATGTGTCTCAAGTGTTTAACTGAAAAGGTTTAATTGAGCAAGCTACAATTTAGCTCAATTTAAAGCAAAATTACAAACACTGACTCTTTTTTTTATTGGTTATGAAGCTTTAAAATTGTTCCAAGATCTTTATTGGTTTGATCTCACGCCTCCACATCGAAGCATCTGTTGAATTCCAATTAGCAACTGCTTTAGGGATCATTTGAACACTAGTGAACACACAGAAAAGCTGGGATGACCACAAAATACTGGATTTCTAAACAACTTCTGCTTTAAAACATTCCTTTTTTGTGATTTAGAAATGAATATGGTTGCCTTAGAGGGGCTTTGAGATCATTTTCTGCGAATATAAGAAGAATTTCTATTTAAGACTAAATAAAAATGGTTACACATCAAGACCCAAAAAACTAAGATTAAATTAAGTTAAGTTACATTTACATGGAGCTGTATTTCTCTTAAGATAAAGCTACTGTAAATCTTTAAAAATCTCTATCTAAAGTTTAGAAACAGTCAGAGATGGCAAAAGTACTCATTTTCCGTACTTGAGTAAAAGTACAGATACTTGTGTTAAAAAAATACTCTGGTAAAAGTGGAAGTACTGATTAACCTTCTTTCCTCAAGTGAAAGTAACAAAGTACAGGCTTGTAAATTTACTTAAAGTATAAAAGTAAAAGTAGAAACCACTTTTTTCATGCCGTTGCCTACATTTTAAATGGATGTCTGCCAATAGGACTAGATCTCTGTTGTGTTCATTTTCAATCATCTCGTCGTCCATGCTACTATGCTAACGCCACCGCCACCAAGCTGCAATGATTTGCCGCAAATGAATACCGCCGAATCTGTCGATTCATCTTGTAGTGGTGCGTCAAATGCAACGTAGATTCCCATCCAATTAGATTGAATTTGGTATTGATGACGTGAAAAATAACAACGGTAACTCCATTGAAATGATTCAAAACTAAAGTAATGAGCCAATTTTTTAAAATGTAAGGAGTAGAAAGTACAGATATTTGTGTAAAAATGTAAGGAGTAGAAGTAAAAAGTCGCCATAAAAATAAGTAGTAAAGTAAAGTAAAAATATCAGAAAAATCTAACCGACCATATCAATGCGTTTTTTTGTGCCATGTTTTTTCTCCCACAATGCTCACATTTGATCACTGCTGCACTTTAAGAAATGGAAATGTCATGTAAGCTGTTCAAAATAAAATATTGTTTTGTATTACACTCTGTATATACAAAATTACAATACAAGTTGTTTAAGTTTAAGGATTTAACGAGTGGCAACAAGTGCAACAATGATCTTCTAGCTGTTTTGGTGCCACAGGCAGGATTGTTCCTTAGCCTAAAATGTTGGGGGTGGGTGTTGGGGCTGTAATGAAAACTTGAATAACATTTAATGAATGAATTGCAGCCTGTGTTTCTTCGTAAGCCTATCATCAAATACATTTTATTTAACAAATAACAGAAGTTTGTATGATTTGCAATTATAGGTAGTGGGAGATTTTTTTAAAAGGAAAGACTTTGGAGGAGGTCAAATATGCGGCAAAACTGAATAAAAAATTTGAGCCTGTCTGAAAGAAACGTATTTCAAACACAGAGGAGAGATGGTGGATATTATTGATACAGTAAAAAAAGGAAACCTGACTTTTAGTGCAACTGTTTGAGCTTAAATGGCCTCAGTAAGTTGATGTGGCTTATTGCTAGGTTGGTTCACTTTTCCTTTAGCACACATTTGATTGACAGTAGTGAGAGAAAGGTCCATCTGAATGTCAAACACAAACACATTTTGGCCAACTTATAGTTCTTACACGTAGCGCAACAAACTCCGAAACTTACAATATAGAAGACAAATAAAAAGGATTAGAAAACAGTTTGACATTAATAAAGATTTAGGAATTGCAGACAAAATGGGTTTTAACATTTTTGGAATCATAAAAAATTCTAACTTCTTCCTCATGTTTGTTTCTGACTCTTGAGGTGAAGAGTTGGTTTGATTCTGATGATCTTATGAGACTCTAAGATTTAAAGCATTGAGGAAGATCAGAGGTGTTAAAATAACTGAAACTACAAATTTTTTTTAACTGAAAGTTTTTTTTAACTGAAAGTTTCTACTCTTTGAGCAAGGTTGCAAATGTAAGGATCTAAGGATGGATTAATATGATGATCTTTGCTTATTTGTCTCTTTGTTGTTTTTGTTTTAAGGACTCCAATAAAAGCATTTTCATTTATGTTTTTGGTGTCCTGCTGATATAGTGTTTTCTGTTCAAACAGCTGCATGTTGGATGGGAGCTAATTAATGAATAAATGCTTTGAATTAATTTGTTATTGAATGCTGGATATATTTCCAGGTGACAAAATTCTATCTGTGTTTTAAGTGTTAAGTTAGATTTTTTTCTTGTGATTCAAGGTCCATGCGGTCAATCATCATCCCAGAAATGTATAGTAAGGGCTAGACATTTTATTGTTTATTTGGTGTTTTTTCCCCTTTTTTTGTGAGCTGCCTCAGCAGCGCCCCCTTCTTAACCTCACCCTCCCAATTGCTCTGTTTGTGGTCTGAGCTAGACTGCTTTCCATGCATCTTAGAAGTGACAATAGATACCACCATTCATGCACACACACACCTAAGGAGAATTTAGAGAAGCCAATTAACCTAACAGTCATGATTTTGGACTGTAAGGAAGCCGGAGTACCTGGAGAGAACCCACGCATGCACATAAAGAGAACATGCAAATTTCCATAGAGAAAGACCCTGGATCGGGAATAGAGCCAGGAACCTTGCTGCTGCAAGACAACAGTGCTACCCACTGTCGTTATTTCAGTTGGAATTTAGACTTATAACACATTTCTTTACATTGTGTAATATTTTTTTATGTAAAAGGAGAGAGAAAAACCAACATCGGCTTCAAGAATTGGCATAAAAATATTGGCAGCAGAAATTTGGGATCGATTAGACTAACGTCAAAATAATCCCATATTGGTGGATCTCTCCATAGAAGTCAGAGCTTGGATTTTGGATCAACTTGATGCTTGTGTTGATGTGAAGATGTTTTACTGCAAACTGACAGGATTTTTATATTTGTTGGGTTCTAACAACTGGAGAAAAAAAAAGCAAAGCATGTAAAGTTAGACTAACTGAGATAAATTCAAATGTTAAAAGAATAATGTAGTGAGTTTAGAAATCTGATAACATTTTTATACCACGTTATTTCAAGGTGGTAGGTAA